AACTGTGGTATAGGTTACTTTAGTCTATTATTATAGAGTAGAACTGCACAGTAATTTGTAATGCAGTCAAATATAAGTAAAAGTGGTGTCTTGTTTAGTGTTGGGTACTGCAGTGAGTATTTCGGTGTAGTACAGTACAGTGTAGTTCAGTGTAGTAAACACGGCCTGTGTTCTGTGTAGAGATAATGCTAGAGTCTAGAGTCGAGTCTAGTTTGTTATTAATGCCGTGCAGTTTTTCTAACTCTTAGTAAAACATTTAAATTTATTTTTGTTTTCCAACCTAAAACACCAACAAACAAGTCTCCGTTATTTAAAGTTTTTTTTACTAACCATAAGCACTAGTGTCAAATGTATTATGTTAGTCAAACCTGAAAATACACCTTTCAGGATAATTAAAACTCATATTTAGTAACTATAGTAACTTAACGGGAGATACACGTCAACTGTCGATATGCGAGAGGGCTGACGAGAATGTGTCACGAATTAAAAAGTAAAACTTCATGTAATGTGTTTAAAGTAACTGACTTCCATATAAAACTCGTGATAAAGTTGTCTAACAAGTTTTTAAAATGTGTCCTGTGGTTAGCGTGTGGAAAGGATTCAACGTTTGCAGCGCTTCCACCATTTTCCAGTACAGTGGCCGCCGCTGCCTCGCTGTACTGGAAATGTGCAGTAAGTTGGAAAAACTCACCCGCCGATCATTTTCTTCACTCATCTCACTTTTAGGCAGCGGCGCTTAAAGGCTCCGGTTGGCACGAAGGATTCCGGGCGATTCTTACGAGCAGAACATAACGCCACTGTATGCAGAAAAGTTCCAGCCTCCAGATCTCCAGAGTTCATTCCTTCCTTCGCTTCCCCTCTCGCTCTTTCTCTCTTCCACTCTTTTCCCGTTCGTCTCCTGCTCCACTACACAGCCATTTTCCAGCTCAGCATGGCTCAGGGAAGGACGCTGCGTGGGAACCAATACGAAGAGCACGTAAAGTGACGACATTTGCCGGAGAAGACCGAACGTGGAGTAAGGGGGAAAGGGGAGGGGGTGTCAACGGACAGCATCAACCAATGGAGTAAACTAGAACCATGTAGACTTTTTGCCTTTTAAACAGTGTATTTATCAAAATCTCGTATTTTCTCTCAGTTGAAGCACAATAATACTGTATTTACCTTTATAATTAAATACTGTTGAAATGTTTATGTATTTGCGCATTGTCAATTCATCTTTATGTAATCCTTACTTTTCGTACAGTGCATAAATCATTTATTCGCTGGCAACGTCTTTATTACTTTTCACATAGTCAAATGATAGTATTAGTGTTAAAAAACTTTAATTGTGTCTATAAAAAATAAAAATGAAGTCCAAACATTTTTAAATAAAAAACGGTTTTCATTTCAGGTCTATTTCTCCAATTTGAGATTTCAGTCATTAAACTGGTTCTTATAATTATAAGAATCAGCATAATTAAGATAACTTAAACTAGATCAAGGTAATCAAGAAGAGTTAATGTTTAGTTTGAGATTTTGTAATAATAATAATTTTTGAGATGATGAAATCAAAGTATTAACACTTCATTGTGCCGGTGGAGGGACAAACAGATCACACTATCACTTTGTTGTTCTGGACTTTTCAGTCCTATGCATTTCATTAATTCAAAGCACTGTTAAGACAATAGAAAAACAGACAACGTCACAATGATCTGCACCAGATACGCACATGGTTGGAGTGAACGGGTCGGGGAGTAGAAGGGACACAATTTCATAACACACAACTCTGCTCAAACAAATGTGGCAAATATATGTGTAGAGTGAAGATGTGGATTTCATCACAGGCACAGGCGAGGAAAAAAAAAGAGTCCCTGTGATGCTCCAGTTTGATGTGTGACAAACTGCTATGAAAGGCAGCTGATATTAGTGTGGTAATGAAAAACAAGGTGAATGATTCCGGTACATAAAAATCAATGGTATGCAGCGTCACAAATCCAGTGATCAATGCCACAGTCTACTACCGTGATCCATAACCAACATTTAGGACCAGTACATTTTCTCTCTCTTCTTGGTCAAAAACAGTAAATTTTGTTTTGTCACTTGCTAAAAGCAACAGCTAGATTTTCCAAGTTTGTCCTTGGGGTGCAATGTCAAGCCATTTCGTATAACATCAGAGTGTTGTAATGGTTTTCAAGTTTTAGGCACCAACTTGAAGATTTTAATTCCTATTTAAGGTATATTTAATATATAGTTCTTTCTCAGGGAAAAAAAGAAGTGTATCGTGAACAATTGGCTTGATCACACTCAGGGATTAACACCAAACCACTTGTATGACATTGCACACTTCCATCTACCCTCAAAAGGTCACTTTCATAAACCACCAACTCCACCTGCTATAAGGTCCCCTGTTGTTTATACAATATACATCAACAGTAAAGGCTAATAGTACTGCAACAAGACTGTTTCAATATAAAAAAACATTTTAAAAAAAAGGAAATCACTTGGACTAAGTAAGACATCTAACTATCCCAAGGTTTCTGGATTAATTCTGCCATTTGATGACATTGGCTTGTTTTTTTTTACACAATAATTTAACATGAAGAAACATTCATAACCACACATGTATTGTCAATAAATTGTAAACATTCATATATATTACACAAATCAATAACAGCCGAGGGAGACACTTTTTTGTTTGTTACATCCACTGTACAGTATTTGAATCCCACAGAGAAAGGGATAAGCAAAACCTGTCTTCAAATGTTATTAAGTGTGTTATCCAGCCCTAGAAGTAACAGTATGGGTTTCCGACGACTGACACAAAGCTATTCATTTTCCACACAGCCGCGTGTTGGTCAGTTCATGTTTTAAGACACTACGTAGTATTGCATCTTTATCTAGGTTTGACAGCCTGAAGCAGTTCAGTCACAATAATGAAGGCTCTATATGTACAACTGCAGTACCTATTTTTAATGTGTTTTATTATCTGCTTTGGTATCCACTGCTAGATATTATGCTTGTATTGTATAGTGTTGTGTTTTTGTGTAACTGCTTATGGCCACAAACTAATAATACACTACAGTAGAAGCCGCAAGACTCTATATGAACAGAATACGGGTGTTTTCAGGAAGGTAAATATGTGATAAAAAAAAAAAATCACAAAGTGTGTCTGTCGTTTTCTTTTGTGCAATTCCTTAATTTAGATCAGCTGAAGCATCCTAGAGCAGACTTAAAACGACGTATGCATGTAAAAAGTTATAAATAAGTTTTCAAATTAAAAAGTATTTACAGAGTTCATCGGTTACTGGTGCCACAGTGATTTGAGAACGGAAAGAAAAAACAAAGGATGAGGAAGTAACCAGTTTGGCAGTCTTTACTCTTTTAACAGTGTTGCAGGATGCATTCATGTGCGGAAACTGATGTTTGACGTTGATGTTTCAGGGTTAAATCACAGTTTTCTGGACACTGAGTTGTGGAAACAGTAGCTGGTCGAATTCTCTTCCTCACTTCGTTGATTTCTCGCCCACTTTGTCTTTTGGATTGGCTTTTTGCTGTGTTGTACCCTGTGATCCTCTTCCCTCCACCTTGGCACTGGAGTCTACCCGGACTGGCTGGATCCAGGAAGCCTTAAAAGTCTTGGGCTGTGTAACTGGGCTTGGTGTTGCATCCGTCTCCTCCAGGTCATCGAAATTCACCTCCTGCACCGCCTCCTGTTTCTTGAAAGAGTCCCTGCGCTCTGAAAGAGCTAGCTTCCTCATCACCACCACCTCACTGGAGTGATGGTTGCCACCACGATGCTGAGGTGATGCAGAAGATCTGTGGTGGTCACTGCCTCCACTGGCTGTGTCTTGGTGACTTCTATGTCCTCCAATGCAAAGACCCTGACGACCGTGCTCACCCACACAAACAAACCCTGTGGTGGTGGCCATGTCCCCCTCCACGTCCTCTAGCCCCTCACTCTCAGACAGAGGCACCTCCATGGTGTGGCGGCGGGTGCTGTAGGCTTTCCTCTCTGCATGGTACCCTCCAGTCGTCTTGTCTCCCGTCAGCTTCTCTGCTGACTGTACCCTTTTTAGGAGTGGCGAACGTGGAGGCTCTGCACTACGTGGACGCACAGAATGGCGGGCAATCGTTGGAGGGGACAATGTTTTACCGTGGAACCCCTGCAGTGACTTGTGGTGACTGGGGAGGCTGGATTGAGGGCACTGGGGAGAGAGAGGCTGAGGAGGAGGGATGCAGGCCAGTGGTGAAGGAGGGATGCTGCTGGTGGACTTGCAGCGGCCAGCTTTGGAGTATCGTCCCAAAACATGTAGGGAACTGGGTCGGGCCTGTGGGACAGGTGAGTTTGGGGAACTGGAGCAGGGAGAAGAGCTAGAATCTGGGGGAAGAAAAGAGACACAGTGGTGTAGATTTTCTCCATTAAAAAAAAAGAACTTGAAAACATAGGCTACAAGTAGAATCCAATACAGGATTTGACTATAGGCTACAAGTAGAATCCAATACAGGGTGTCCTTGACTTACATCGGAGTACTCTTCCTACAAAATGTGATGACAGGGCCAGTTTGAAAACATTTCTAATATAGCAATTTATTTCATCTATCAGTGCGCACACAAATGGAAATATTACACATAGACAATGTCAAGAGGATAAATAAATTGCTATCCCTAGTTTTATATAAAACATAGGACATCACTTACCTCCAGATAGGTCAGGGGCGGGAGAGCGACATGGTGTTGATGGACCAGGAGAAAGAGACTGTGTTGGGGAACCAGAGAGGCTGTCACTAGAAGACTGGTGGAATCCCGAAGAGAAGCTCCGACTGCTCTGCATGGGTGGTGGCGGAGTGTGCTTTGATAGCTTCTTCAAGATACTACGTCGACGGCTGTAAATTAAAAAAATGGAGGGCAGATCAATAATCCGTATATATATTATTCCTTGAACTTTTTCAGTGTTTAACAACTATGTTCAAGTCACATATTTGCAAAAATTCAGCGCTGTAAAAGTTAATAAAGTTAAATTGTGTCATTAGGACTCTATTTTCTTTGTACCTGTCCTGTCCGTCTTTCTTCCTACTCTTCTTGCTGCGCCGGGCCATCTTGGCCTTGTAGCTGGACCTTCTGGCAGGGCCCACTTTGATTGAAGTGTTTTCCAGTGCAGTTGTCTGTAAAGTGACCCTGTTGCCACTCTGTTAAAACAAAACATTTTTAAGGCAGGAAAAGTCACATGTTCTGCCATTCTGTTCAAGAATATACAATAGGGTAATTCAATAATTATTGATTAAAAACATTGAGGATAGTGTTTCTTTTACCTTGAGCAGGAGCTCCACGACCTCAGTGTGGACAAGACCCTGGACTGACTCCCCATTCACATGAGTGATGAGGTCACCAGCTCTTAATCCTGCCTCATGTGCTGGACTGCCTTCTTCAACACACTGAAAACAGACAGAGACTTCGACTTTAAATCACAGTATTACCGTAGTAATTAATACTACAAGCAAATTATTATCTTTAAACAAGGGATTAAATCACTTCAACAGATTTATCACAATCAGGTATATCTGCGATGAGGACAACACCTACCCAGACCATGTGGTGAACGGTGTAGACATCAGTGTCTCCCATGTAAACCCTAATAGCTCGCAGGGCGAAGCCAAACCTTTTCCCAGAGCTGTGGATGACAACAGGAGGCCTGAGGCAGGTGACACTGACACTCAGGTCCCTGCTGGGCGAAGAGTCCCTGGACGAGGGGTTGGATGACAGCGACAGAGAAGACTTGGGGCTCGTGGGAGGAGCTGCTGAGTCATCTGCATGAGAAAAAAAAATTATAACAGTGGCATGAGTAAGTTTCTGTTAAGATTAAAGGCAATATTGAGCATTAAAAATAACAAATTATACTTACTATTTCCACTACCACTACTACTAATAATAAAATAATAATAATAATGAATTGTCAATCCATAAACCCTTTATCAGTTTGTTTCTAGGAGTGGCTGTTTATGTAACTGTAATTCTTGTGATATTACACTGATCAGTCTGTAGTGGGCACTGTAAACACACGAGTATTTTTGAGCAAGTAGTTTAAAACACAGCCTCCAAACAATGAAACAAAAAATGAATTCAATATATTTTGCTAAACTTTTCACAAATGTATGAATGTAACAAATAGCAGAAATGAGACTGAGGAACACAGATGGTTGAATTTTATTGGCGTGTACAGATTATTCTCTACCTGGAGTGATGATAAGAGAGAGCCCAGAGACAGAGGCTGACTTGGGCACTTTGCCAGCGGGGGATTTGGGTTTCTCTGGAGTCTCCAGCTGGTGTGCAATTCGTCGAGATGCGCCCCTCCTGAACGATGGTCTGGTTCCTGTGCTGTTGCTCCGGAGACGAATGCGTCGCAGGTTGGAAACCATGCCATCTATGAATCAGATGCAGAGAGAAACACGGCTAGGTTTTAACACCTTCTAAGATTGACATTTATGCATAAAACAATGCACTAATAAATGTGAGAACACAAATGTTATATTATTGTACGTATTTAATTTACCTCTTTAATACAAAAGAAAATGATGTGTCATACTATAAGACACAAATCTGTTTAATCAAAGTGTTGTATGCTAAAAGTCGGTGACTCATTCGTCAGCTTCTCAAGTCACAGATGACACAGTGATTTCTGTGAAAAATGTCAGAATCAAATTGTACAAGTACAAATGAAGTAAAGCGAGCAGTATAAAATTGTAAAATACTAGCCTGTAATAACTCTAATAAGAGTGAAGTGACACAATTAAAAATGCCATAAAATTAAATAAAACCTTGCCGATTTACAGGTCAGTCGACAATGTAGCTCTAAAGTTTTGAGCTGGACTACAAGTTTTTTTGAGGCTGTTTGGTGACATATGTACCACATGCCATTGGGGGACATTTGAGCAGGACATTTGTCCTTACCCTCTTCTTCTGGAGCAATGGTAAAACGAGGCATGATGTCGAGGCTCTGGGTGCTGTTCATGACCAGTGGGCTGGCACTGCGATCGGACTGCGAGGAACCAGAAGAAGCACGAGGACGAAGGCTGCAAACACAAACATTAGCATAACATAAGAAATATTAAAATATAGTATTTTAAAGGTGTATTTAGTAAATGTTGGGTCATCTTCTCCTGTATTTGGTTGAGTTAAATTAAAAGATTAACAGTAGGGAAATTGAATCTCCATCTCACTTCTGTGGTTAAGTGTGGAAGAACAAACAAGAAGAAGAGACAGTTTCATGATCCCACCTCCCCCTGTGTCCATCTGCCCTCCTGTCTCCAGCTGAGTGTTTGTGTCCATCGCCAGGAGAAAGGATTCCCCTGCCTTCCCAGCGCTCCTCCTTCTCTTCGCTGTGGCTGCGCTCTGATGATGACAGGCTCTGATTGGATGGCGTGGAGGTGGACAGGTGCTCTGTGCTGCTGTACACCTATGAATGCAGCATGAATTCATTCTCAATTAGCAAAGTGTCTTCAGAATTTCTGAGGTTTTATAGTGAAGTTTATTTACTAGTATTCACTTTATTAAACAGAACTACTGTATAAGGTTAAATACGTGGGCTTGAATGAAATACCTTGCTGAAGCGATGAGCAACAGAAGAGAACTGTCGGAGCTCCAGAGACGACTCGTCATCGTTGGTTTCATCGTCATCATCTGAGCCCGTATGACAGTAGCGTTCTGATCGAGCTGTGGAACAAAATACATTTACAAGTCATCCTAAATGAAATGATCACCCAAGTTTTCATGTCTAATGTTGTTGTCAACCCGGGAGGTTTACAAATAAATCCCACATACTGTCAAAGTAGCTGGTGTCATCGTCAGTCTCCAGCTGAGGGATGAATTCAGCTTTCTGCCTCAGGAGTCCATTCCAGTCCAAACCCAAAAAGAACATGTGCATCTTTACCTCAGTGGTTCCACCTGGAGAAAAAAAACAGGGAAAATGGTGGATTTGTGTAAATAAGGATTATACATTTTTATCATAATAACTGGTGTGTTCTTTTCCATTAGTGCTGTTTATGCTATGCTGGGCAAAGTTAAGTTGAGCATTTGGATCACACAGGCTATAGTTTTTCTTTTAATATATTTAATGTTAAAATTTTGACCAATATTGGAGTGATACTTAATAATGAATCAAGCCATCCTTAGTCCTAAAGCTGCTGCAAATAAATATAATTTTTACTGAAAGTCCATTCACATGGTTATTTCTTTTATTTTGAAGAAATAACTGGAAATACCTTTCTTTAATTCTTCTAATGTCAGGGCTAACAACATAACAGGTTGACAGAAAATGTGCAAAAGGTCACAATAATAGGTAACCAGTGACGGAGCTTAAACGCCACCAACCTGTTCCCAGTCGCTCTACTGGATTTTGTCTCAACAGTCTGGTGATGAAGTCCTGGGCATCAGCTGGCAGAGCATCTTCACCATCTGGCCAGATGATATCATCTGTATAAAGAAGCACAAACCAGTGATCTCAGATTATATTAACCCTCTGTTTTACAAATTTAGCTCTGCGGTAAAAAAAAAAAAAAAGAACACGTGAAACACTGAAGCTTCTTACCGTTGACCACCTGCCCAAAAAGCTGCTCAGGTGTGTCTCCAAAGAACGGCACACAGCCCACTAAGAACTCGTAGAGAATAATTCCCATGGCCCACCAGTCCACAGGTTTTCCGTAGCCCTGTCTCAGGATCACTTCTGGAGCGATGTACTCAGGGGTTCCACAGACCTGGACAAAGGCAAGGCAGAAAAACATGTTGTGTCATCTGAGACCACAGTGAAAATGACAGAAGAATGTAGTAGAAAATGTGAAAAGATGAGAAATACCTGTTTGTCAATAAACTCCCTGGTGTCTTTCTCAATGTGTCCTTCATACAAGTTAGTGGTCATGTTCATCAGACCAATCTTTGACAGTCCAAAATCTGTCAGCTTGATGTGGCCCATAGAGGTGATTAACAAACTGCAACGACAAACAAAAACAATGTTTTATTGTCAGATTAAACAGTGGTGTACGTGAAGTTATTCCTGTTATTTTTCCTTGTCTTGTTTTTGGACTGACTTGTCAGGTTTGAGGTCTCTGTGTACGATGCCATAGTTGTGAAGGTACTCTAACGCCAGGACAGTCTCCGCAAAATACATGCGAGCCATGTCCACGGGAAGAGGACCGATGTTTTTCAACAGGTTGGCACAATCCCCACCTTCCACGTACTCCATGACCATGCACAGATGCCTCCGTGTCTCAAAAGAGCAGAACATTGAAACCACAAACGGGTTTTCAGCAAAGGTCAGGATGTCTCGCTCCACAAACACCTGCTGGATCTGGTTTCTGAGCATCAGGTTCTGACGGTTTATCTTCTTCATGGCAAAACGTTGACGGGTTTCCTTGTGGCGAACGAGGAACACAGCGCTGCACAAAAGGACAGATGTGAGCAACGGAGGAATTGATTAAGAGATTTAAAAAAGGAAAACAGGAAAGGACAAAAAAGGAACCAGGTTGATTTAATACTAATAGCTAATAATTCATCTGTGTAAATAAACACAGAGGACGACAAACCGTCTACATTTGTGTAATGAAATCTCTTTTATTTATAATATAGATGTCCACAATGTATGACTTACCCGTAGGCCCCGTTGCTAATTAGCTTGATGGTCTCGAAGTCACTCTCCAGTGGTTTTCTGCGAGGAGGTGTGCAGGCCACTCGATTCTGAATCACACACACAGGTGTTGAAAATGAGACGGAAAAATATCAGGAACTGAAATAATGCACAACTGAGGAATATGAAGCCTTTACTTTGTGCTTTAACTGACATCATTCCAAAAACAACAAGTGCTCCATTCACCACTGAAATAATGCACAACTGAGGAATATAAAGTAATATAAAATGTAACTTGATTTATTTAGGCCATTTTGGTGTTGCTTTAGTTGACCTTGGTTTTACGTTTCTCCAGTGCTATTTCACTGCTGTTGACATTTCTTAACCACCACTGACTGTTCTGTCCAAGTCATTCCAGGGCCTGTATATCTCTTCACCCAGTAGGATAGGTTCATACCTGTGTCGGTGTCGTCTCACTGGTGTCATCAGACTCTTTGGTCGATCTATGACTCGGGCTTGTCTGCTCCAGATGGACCATATCTGTAGAACAAAGAGGCAGATCAAAGTGAGCAGTTATAACCAAGAGGAGGAAAATAAAAAGAGTTAAATCAAATGTTTGTCATCATGAGAAGATCGTGATGACATTGAATGGTTTTAACTAGGGATGCCTTGATCAGGATTGGTTCAATATTGGTCAACATTTCAGGATTGAATATCAAACACCTAGAGTTGGTCTGATCTGATACCAGATGCCTAAACACGACACGTTGTAAACAAGGACACTATTGCGTCAGGCTGTCGTTGCTGAGGCAAGATGCTGGAGGAGAACAGCTAGTATCGGATTGATATCGGTATAGACAGATACTCAGATAAGTTGCAGTATTGGAAATGAAAAAAAAACTGTTGTGTTTCTGGTTTTCAGAATTGAGTCGCTGAGGTACCTTCCAAAGGATCCCGGGTGAGGCCCAGCTGACTGATGATATATCTGGGAATATCAGTCTTGATGCCCTGGCCTACTTTGGCCTGACCTTCTGCGACTTCTAGACGTTGGTAAAACTCCTCTGGATCAAATTCCTAACAAAGAGAAGCAAAACATTGTGGCTATATCTGGGGCAGCTGTGGTACAGCTCAGGACAGCTACTGACATCATGTGATGAAAATGATCCTTACCAGACACTCCAGGAGCCTGGCAGGCCTGGAGATGATGATGAGTATCTTCTTGACTAGTTTGGTGATAATGGTCACCTCCTCGCTCTCTGATCGCTCATATGCCTGATCAGGAAATGATAAAAAAAAATTATAGATCTTCACTGTATCTTAATCCAATTGTCTCGTTCGCAGAGGCTGAATGCACCCTGCTGTGCTGTGGCTTATGTTATTTTTAGAATCTTTGTTTTCTTCTACAGTTTTCTGATGGTACTTCAATAAAAAGTGAGAGGCTCTGGGACACACTGCATCCCTGCTGTGTGCAGCTGCTGTGCCTTTGCAGGTTAATATATAACAGAGGTGTATTTTAGTTATTGTCTGCATTTCTTAGTCTAACAGTAACTGGCCTTCATCAAACAAAGAGGTTGAAGTCCATTTGTTAAACGTGGTGCAAAAGTGATGTTGGTGTATGGTAACAAAAAAGTAAATGTTTGTTGAACCATAGAATTTGAATAAAAACATCAGATGTTTCCAAGTAAAAAAGATAATTCTGAAAATCTACCGCACATTATGTAATGCAATACACAGGGGGCAGCATTTGCTGCAGTCAAGCAACCCAGCAGACACCATCACTTAGAGTTAAGTGCACACTTTCCCCCAGAGTTATGCACGATATGCAGTTTTTCATGGCGGGCAGTGTTAGCTGCCAACAATCAGGAATTTACAACATTTTCAAAAAAAAAAAAAAACAATTGAGAAAGACGTCTGACATGCACCTCATGCAGCAGTTTCTCCAGCTTCTCCTGCAGCTCCACAAAGTACCTGGAGGTGACCAGGCCTTTCTGAGACTTGTCCAGACAGTCTCTGGCAAGCTCCAGCAGCTGGTGCTGGATGAAGCCCAGCACTCCATCAGCTAGGGGCAGAGCACTGCCTGGGGAACACTCTGCAATGATGTCAAGAAGCCGACCCTCCATCTGTGCTGTCGCCTGCAAAAACAAGCAAGATGGAAGACTTCATTTAAAACAGTGACAGTGGCTTTGTGTCAGCTATTACGGCAAATCCCTCTGGTGAGTGAGCAAAGATTTTGACTTTGCCGTGGGCACTTAAAGAACCAGTTCTTAAATCTATGTGAGGAAGAAAGTTCACGCACGTGTGGATTAGTACGTATGTTAGGGTTAGGTTGAGGACAAAACCATTAGCCCTTTTTAGAAACATGTTATTTTTAATGGATTTCCCATTTGCTCTTATGCAGCATGGGATCTTCGACTCAGCATTCCTGGATATTACCAAAATTACCCATTTCAAAGTTGTTACTGCAAAACGACTGGAACTTTCCAGTCATATAGATGTTGTTGAGCTTTTGAAGACAAGAAGGTATGTAACCCAAAGAACATCACCCCTCAGTAAAACACAGGGAGCTGAGGGTTTTTAATTCTGTGTGGATGTTCGAGTGCATCTGGAACTAGGAATCCTGTGACAGAGGAGAGAACTAAAAAAATATGAGCTGATTTTTTAAGGAAAACCTGATGCAGCTGGCAGTAAAACTGGATCTTGGATGTCATTTTGTTTTCAACACAGCACTGAACTCAAGCATGCTTGAAAAATGATGAAAAATTAGATAGGAAAACAAACTGATCGTTGTTGACAGGCATAAGAGATGCTTATGAAATGTGAAAAATGTGTTCTTCAACAAAAGTGAAATAAAAATATATAAAACTATAGAGGAGCCTAATACTGGTGCTTCACAATGTAGTTACTTATAATAGCGTCCAAAATGAAGCTAGTATGCTCATAAATGTTATGTTGAAAGTTGTTCAACTTTGTTGTTTGAAACCTTTATGAAATGCAGTAGAAATGAAACTTCTTATAGAACATTATTCCTTTATATGTCAGAGAGAGAAACAAAATTACAAGAAGAAATGTCTTCACCTTGGGAAAGCGTTCTTTGTACACGTGATTCATCATGACAATCTCATTGTCAAATGTTCCACAGGTCCGCCCAGGGCTGAAATAAGCAAAAAGAAAAATGAACAATCGGCTGACAAAATGATCACAGTGAAACAAAAACATATGAAATTCACCACTGCGCCCCTAAAAGGGATTCATATTTCACAAACATTATTAGGGTTATGAATTTGATGAGTCAACAAAAACAATCCAAGACGTTCCTGTATGTGTCGTTGTGTATAATGCCGACCATCAATCTGTTATTAGAGGAACAAAAAACCCTATTGATTTCCTTGGTGAAACCTAAGTGTTTGCAGTGGCCCCAAGTTGTAAACACAGCATGTGTGAAAATGAACCTGATGAGATTCAGATCGTGTTTTCGTCTGCAGTATCACTGACCACATCTGTTAGCTAGCTCACGGCTTCCATTACGATCAAGAGGTTTTCAAACCGTCTGTGCACGTTACAAATCAATGAGCTGTCGTCACTTTCTGTTAAAAATAGAAAGACTGGGTGCTCCCCCGCACACACCAGATACATTACAAATAACAACATCAACAAGTGACAACCAGAGCGCTGTTTCTGTTCAGCCACAACAGTTGCACATGCAGTGTCATTGCATCCAAGTGCGTTGGTAACCTTTGGCCTCGTGAGAACTATTTCAGGGCAGTAAGTAACGTCTTACACACCCAGAGCAGCTATTTAAGGGACGCATGTAACTTGTCAGCCATGCATGTGTAGAGCATGTGCAGTGACAGATGGAGGGGGTATATTCAATAGTGTGGCAATTATTTTTTGCATTATTTTAATATGATGCCCATTATACAATCATACATACACACACACACACATATATAAATATATATATATACAGAACTGATAGATTGAATCCCTTTCCTAGGCTGTGCCATAAAACTACAGATCTGGACTTTGTAATTACTGTTTATACTCCATGGTACCTGAGACTGCGTGAGCGGACTCTGACAGGGGGCGAGGCGTGAGCTCCTTCTTCATCTGCCACACTCTCCGTACTCCGGAAATGTTTGAACAGGAAGTGGAGATCATCTTGTGTGGGCTGAAAGGGCAACTGGTGCAATAATTCCTGGGAAGAAGAAGACTGGGGAAAAAAGATGGGAAGAAGGAATCAGGAAATTACTTCCACATAAAGGACGAGTATTTTACAAAACATCGGCCATAAAATAGAACAAACGTAATCATCTGGATAATTTAATTGGACCACTGTATGGTGGTCTGGTGGCTGTTCAATCTTTACACATTTCTGTCTGAAAATGACTCCAGATAAAAAAAAGAAATGAAAGATGTGTTAGAATTGCACCTCAAAGAAAAGCAGCAAATATTATACATTAAACAAAAACAAAATAATAAGCTATACGTACTTAAATTAGAGCCTTTGTGTTGCCAAAGGTACTATTTTGTAGTTTCAGAGTTGATGTTTTACTCTAATAATAAATACTCATTGAATATTATGTAAAAATAAAATATACCTGGATAATATAAATACAACTCTTTTCATTTAAATTCACACGTTAGGATTGAATACAGAAACCTATCACACATCCCTCTGTGACTACTGAAGGGGCCTATCTCAGATTAAGCGTTCTCGTCGCCTACAGCAGCCTTTCCCACTGCACCGGCAGTGCCGCAGGAAGGCGGCAGCAGCTGTTGTGTTGGCTGTACATGCATGCGTTTTCTTTTTCCACGCCAAAATGGGTGACACTCAGCCTGGAATTTATGAGAACTCCCATCTGCCTGGGATCTTGTGTCTCACTGAAGTCAGAACAAAAGTGAAAGCAGAGAGGAGTGGTGTCTCCTACACCCCCCTCCACCTCCTTCAAAAAAAATAACAGGGGCTCAATAAAGTAGTAGGACATGAAACTGAAATTCAGAACGTGAACAATCAATAAAGGGATGGTGAATTAATAATACAAATAAATGATAGAGGAAACTAGAGCCATGTTAGAATGGGGGAGAGCAGTATAAAGACCTCACTGAGAGCCATGCTGAAAGAGGCATTGTGTGAGTAAGGGCTGACCTCACCAACCCTGAGCCATGTGGTTGGACATACAAAATTACAGCCGTGACAGAGGAGCTGGCTATTGTTTTCCTCCAACTCACTGCAGTCTCACTTAATGAGTGTGAAGACAGAGGCTCAAGATAATCACCACAGAAACCTTCAACAAATAACTGACGGCTGCAGTTTGGCAAAGTCTACCCACACTGTTTCCCTTTATTTGACTTGTCCTGAAAGAGTGAGGACTTGACAAAGAATAAAATGTCCCCTCTGTCTCAGATGAGATGTCAGGGAGAAAAATCTAATGTAAAAGAAAAATTATTTCAGCAAGTTACACTTGACTGAGGTGACATGAAGTGCAGCTCAGGTCATGGTGAAACATTAACTGAACCCTACTTTTTCCAACCATGCTGAATCCTCTTATTCCTTTAGTTTTGTCACAAATATCACGTCAGATTAAAAATAATTAAAATTATCCGCAAAAACTCTAGGAAAGGCATGTGAGGAATAATTCAATTTTCCTCCCGTTGGTAGAATGTGTGATGAACAACAGGCTAAGGAAGGATGCATCATCACTGGATGCATCCTGTTTTAGCTGAGTCATATTACATCCACACTGAGTCAGCTGCTCTGTCGGCTTTGGCTGCTCCTGAATGGACAGTGGTGTTAAGTGCTTTTCAGCCTCTGCCAGGAATGTTTTTAAAAGTGTTAGGGGACAAATTACTGTTCCACGTCTGCACACCATGCAGGTCCATGCTAAAGAATTACTACCTTAAATATGTTCTTCAAAATAAATCTGTCACCAACTGTGAGTTGCTGTAAAATGTGACAGGCGTTTTCCTACAAACAGAGGCTGCATTAATGAAGTGTTAAAAACAGGGAGTATTAAAATGTTTTTGCACCTTCAAAACACTCTTAAAGCCAATGGCCTTCCATCTTGTTTTTACTGGATCAACAGCAAATTCAACCTTTCACACAGCTTTGCTCTGTACTGTGGCAGTGAACTTATCTAGAGCACATGTTTTATATGAGGATAATCTAATTATTCCAATGATTTAGAAGGGTCTATTATTGGGTCTATTTTTGTTGTCTTTAAATTAAAAATCTAACTCGGTCATTGTGTGGGCAGGGGGGCGGGGCACATCATGTCTGATTTATTATAAGCTAGAAAAAAAGAAAGAAAAAAAGACTGTGATGGTCTCAGTGTTTGGTGCCAGAACAATCATGCAGGTCATGAAAATGACTTCCAAACCAAATCAGTTGCAGTCTGGTATAAGATTGAGCATCATTGGTGCTGCTGAGGACTCCGACTGGTAGACCCCAGAGAAGATTTGTGGATGAGGACATGGAGATCATAGGTGTAAGGGTAGAGAAGGAGGCAAACGATCCACTGTTGTGACTCCTGAAGGGAACAGCAAACAGAGCTAGCTAAAACATGCTCCACTAACACACAAACAGAGCTAGCTAAAACATGCTCCACAATCCACTAACACACACGGAGGTGTTGTTTGGACTCCTCTTACCCTGAGTTGAGACACTTCCTTCCATTTGAGTGAGTAAACCTCCTGACCTCAGAGCCGCAGAACAATCACTGGCAGCTCAAACATGTGAACCTGATTCTGCTCTTTACTTTTCTCAGACCAAACAGAGGACTTTGGTTCGCAATGACGAGCTCTTTTTTTAACTTCAACTGAAGAGGCCTCTTTAATTAAGCTTGTACATTAAAACACAGCTAACTTTGACTATTTTGTTTTAAAAGAGAACATTGATTTGAAACAAAGCAGTGGTTCAAAAGAAATGAAAGCATTGTTGTTTTTTTTATATTAATATTATGGGATGATAGTAGGAGGAATAGACATAAAGGAATAGAAGGAAATATGTTTTTTGAGCAGTGTGAAGGATGCTCTGGACCACAGGGCTCCAGCCATGAGCCCTGTACTGGTGCCAGGCAGTGGCATTTGTCAATTGGAACCACAGCAGAAAAACCAACCTAATAACAGGTTATTTGGATTGTCTTTACTGATCAGTATATAAGCTATTTGATTATGGATAATGACTCTATAATCCCAAACACATCTTGACACGTTTAAGTTTTTCTTAAAAAAGAAGGGAATTGCACAAGACAAGTAAAAGGAAAAATATGCTCGAGGAAAAATAAGGGCAAATGAAAAGAAAGTTGCATTTACAGAAAAATGGGGAAAATGAGAAAAAAAATAACAGGATGAAGAAAAGCAAAAATAAAAGAAGGGAGTAGAAGGAAGATGAAGACTAGAGGAACATCATTAGTTTAGAAGAAAAAGCACAAAAACAGTTCTCTTACAGATACTGATGAACTTGGTGCATTGGTGCAGTATCCAGAGGAGGGAACTGAGGCCACAGACCATCTACGGCCGTCAGGTCTACGAAAAACAAAGCAGTCGCACACAGTTAATCAGTTAATGTTCAGTCACTTGGTTATGAAAAATACATGTTGTAAAATTCTTGTCATTGTAGTTTTTACCTCTCACTACGGGCCAGTTGGCTGCACAGGAGATAAAGGAGAGATGACAAAGACGGACACAGGGGAGGAGAAATAAGAGCATGTTAGACGTTTGGGAAACTTGCTGACGGAGAGACAGTTTGACTGTCGCAGCTCAGTGGCAGTGGGTCTTTTGCTGCTGCTGCTGCTGCTGCCACAATGCAGCACTGAGCCCTGCAGACACTGGGCATGTGATTCATTACACAGACAAACAAATGCTCTCATGAACCACGTGTGCACGCAGAGCACGGCACACCCAAGTGGACCATGACCGTCATGTGTGAAATTACCACTTGTGACAGTGACTTCATTCCCGGTGCCACTACCCCTGCCCGTCCCCCACTTATGCTTTCCAATGCAGTGCAGCACACTGAGGATATGACCCAGTTTTCTTAATGATTCAGGCTGCAGTGATGGAAAGTCACCAACTGGTTAGGCATTGCTGAAACCAATGCCTTTTAGGTCTAGGAAGCAAAAAGGAAAATTGCTTCTTACACCTTAAGGTTAAAAAACATTTGTTACCTCACCCCTGGGAAACATATCTGCCATGTTTTAAGTTCATTTGCATTTACAAGACTTGAGCCATTGCATGGATGGACCAATTTTCTGGTCTGATTTATTCAATGTTTACATGAATAAAAAAAGAATAATTGCACACACAGCACTAGCTATCCAGCTTGCTTGAATTACAAATAAACTCAGTAGGTTTGCTCAAAAGTGCTGTCAGGGCATCTGTGTACACACAGGCAGTAAACACTCTCAATAAAATTAGATGAGTCATGCAAAGTGATTCTACCAAGAGACAACTCCACTCTATTGCCGAGCTTATGAGGTAATGTGCTTTACTGCACCACCACACGAGGTGCTAATTCATTACTTATGGTTGTTCAGATAAGAAGCATAAACTGCACCTTTAATGTCACCCTTGTTGCCCTCTCATTTATAACCAGTCAACATGTTGCTGATTCCACCTTACAAAGGCTTGTGTGCATTGTTCCTTTAAATGTCAGCAGGTCTACTAGCAGCAGGAGTGGGGTGAAAGGGAATGAATTTACCCCATATTCCTGGTAATGGCATGTGTACATATTTACACACATATATATAATAAACATGTATATATACGTTCACTTAATTGGTCCAGCAAATATCTCTGAGGCATTTGAGCTTGATAGACATGCTTCATTTCTACCGTATGGGCAAAACCAACAAGTCTGGACTTGTTCATTATCCACGCAACACTACGGCCAATGGAAACGACTACGAGGAAAGGAATATTTCTCTGGGTATTGACTAAAAGATGGCCACAAAAATGAGAGCGACGGGCCGACAGAAAGAGAGATACAGTATTTAGAGACAGAAAAATAAACATGATGTGCTGTATGATTATGGTATAGATAAATAATTTAAATTAAAGCTAAGGTAAGTGGTTTAGATAAGGAACAACTTGGTGTCATAACCAGAATGAATACTTTTATGGAGGGCCAGAAGGAGCTGAACTGTGTCTCTGTAGAGCTACAGAAAGAATGGTATTGGGTGAAATCTGTGGTACTGTGTAATGTGTAACCTCCAAGAAATGACACAGAATTTCCTTTACTCTGGCTGGTCAAATCCAGACAGATGAAAGACGTCCACTCACTGAGAAAAAAATACATCATGATTTCCTGGACCTAATCAAACCAACCTGGTATTTCTAGATTTTTTTTTTAGAGGAAACCTGTACTGGTGTTTTTAAGAGGAAGATCGTTCTGTCATTACCTTGGCTTAGCAACAGTGCCTTGGATGAATTCCATACTCGAGCAATTTCTTACCTGCGAGCAAACTGAAAGTTGGCAGAGGTGCTGGCCGAAACATTTCTGGGGCTTTCTGAAGGGCTGCTGCCAGCTGAAGACACATGAACCAAAAACAAGAGATGGATGAATTTTGTGTCACTTCTCTTACCCTGGCCACACTTTGTTCTCTGAAATATTCTTGGTGATCGAACTAATCTCGATCACATCACACACTACTGAAACAGGAAAGATAAAGGGTATTCATACCATCAAATCAGTCACATTCTTTTAAACAGAATGACTAACTGTATAAGACGGCTGAGTCCAGGAATGATTAGCCAGAAAGAAGTAAAATGAATAAAGCAGCGTGCTTTATTCAACACTGAGTGTGACCTGTTCTAACTGATAGACCTAGAGGCAAAAAAATAACCCTGTAAGTCACTCTGGAGCAACAACCGGTGATTTAAAATTAGATTTTGTTACAATATATCCAATCAACAAGGGTGGTGTTAAGTTTAGTGATCACTGAAGAGGTGACGAAACGTTGATAACAGACAGAAACAGGCTAATGTTACGATTAAAGACCAAAGAAAATGTAAAACTGAAAGAAGCAGCGACAGAAAATCCGACATCGTGGTTTCCTGTCACACCTACTGTACTTCTCTTACGTCTCGTCAGAACATCTGCACTCACTTGTCCGTTTTAATGTGGTCTACTTTACGTGGAACATACCTATCAAACGACACCTCTAAATGTCAAACAACACGCACGGAAAAGCAAGTACCTGTGGAGAGTGGGAGAGGAGAGAGCGGTCGTGAGAGTGTGGGCGACGGGGTTCCGACCGCCAAACTCCTTCTCTTGTTGTTACGGGCACTGTGAGAGGAGGAACACAAACAGAAAAAGATAAGACAACGGTTCACACAGTTACAAACACAAAATAAAAAGAGCCAGAGGGGAAAGGTTGTTTATCTGATTTTTATCAGAGCAACATTCAACGCAGACTATAGTTGTTGTTTCGTGATAAGGCAAACAGTAATTAATCCTGAGGTGCTACAAGAAAAAGACGTGTGTATACGTTAGCCTGTCGTATGCAGCTACACATGTTTATATGTAAATATATAAACACATACGTATAGCGTGGGACATGTTCCATTTTGGGTTAGGTCCTTAAGCCCTTTTGTTTAAAAGACCACTTAGTTGATACACCAAACAAAATACAAACACTATCAACAGTACATTATATTATATCATATACTAGAGTACTGATTCTGATCCAGTTATGTCTTGTGTTTCTACAGCAAGTGAGTCCAGGAAATGATGGGAAATGGCTGTTTGCGTTGACCTTGGCTGTTTTATAATGATGTGGAAAAATAAGTTGCCTCTTGACTCGTGTGATGTAACTCTGTGGTCCTTACAGAGACACCAATATCAGTGATACACAAACACATTAGCCACACAGACCCACAGGCAATAGCAGCCATGATCAGATTGTGTTTTACACTAAAATGTCAAAGACGTTTTTTTCCTGTATGAAAAAACACTGAAAGGAGCTCCGGTTGCAGCTCATCTTTCACTAATCTCATTACCTATCTATTGAATGAAACAAAAATCAGGACTGTTGTTTTGCTGATAGAAAGCAGGCTAACATTCCACTTTGACAGACATCTATGATATATGTTAATTATCGAAAAAGACGTTTTTTCACTTAAGCATTTTCTGGAGCTGTTGTGTACATTGCTGATCAGAAGTATGCCATTTTACTTATTTATATATTATTTATATACTATTTTGAATAAAATACAATTTAAAAAAGAGAACAAGTAAAAGACAAAGCACCTAAAAGAGACTTGGTTATGTCAGATTTCAGGAATCACTTAATGTCTAATCGATTAATGTTTGAGCCAAGAGGATGCTCGTCAGTAATACTGGAGTAAGACCAGTTAACCATCAATTGGTACAGCCGTCATGAGCACACAGTTCCGAAACCATTACATTCAACAAATGGGTCATCCATTCCATGAAATATACAACATTTCCACTATTTTTTCCTCAAGCAAAATAGGACAAATGTTTCTCTCTCAGCTACCTTCATGACAACAATGCATACAAAGGTGGCAGTTAGCACAGACCCAGTGTTGTTTCCCTGAGTGTGACTCAACCCCACAGCAATTATTATACAAGACAGTTTAAAAAGAAAAAAAAAAGATAAAACGTACACTGTTCCGTTATTGTGTGCTTTGTGTATGTGTGGTTCCTTCAGGAATCTGAATACCTGCTGCTATGTTTGCCAATGTTGTCATGTGAGATTAGACAAGGTTCCTTTAAAGGCTGTTTTATGTTAAGTGTAATACCGTCATGCTCTGTGTTTATATCTCGGTAATGCCGATGCTGTCTTACTCATTCTCTCTGGCAATGACCTCATTAAAAGACTGGTGGGACAACAGTTTCTGACATTTCTGGGTTGGAACTGAGACATATTCAACCAGTTTAGGACTTCCAGACCAGAACGTGGACGTGGAGAATGCCAAGTAAGCTTGACTTCAGTTTGAACGGAATTTAGCCCCAACAGTGATCTGTCTGTGAGCTGGACCTGTTTTATTCTCATCTGAAAATAAATTAATCTTTTCTCAGCTGTAATGGTATAAAACAATCACTATATCACAACATGACCAAGTGACCCATATCAGTTAGTAGTGATAAGGCTGCCTGGATTTACCAATAACAATAGTGGCTTGTTGAGTGTGTTACAGCCAATGATGAAAGTAGGCCAACTGAGACAAGTATGGTGTCTGCTGATGGTGGAAAATATACAACTATTTACTTTATTTATTTACCAAGTTCCATCAGTAGATACTGTTCTCTGGTTTATTATAATGCCCCAGATACTGACACTCAAACTAGAAAAATATTTTTCACACAATAGACAGCAAGCTGGACGATAAACAGCCAACAGTCAACTCTACCGTGTAAAACTTTGTGACATTATTTGTACAAGCATTATTCCTGGAAGCCGACTGATTAAATTCAATGACATGGTATACAAAAAAAACAAGCTGTTGATTTTCATTCGTGAGCCAGGGGCATATGAGAAAAATAATCAATAACTACTGCATTTGTACTTTTGTGGTACATTATAGTCCCATAAGGGACGGGCTGTATTATGCATGACACATTAAAATCAATCTCAATAACATCATGTGAAGAACATAGGGCGTATTACACAGATATCACAGATACGACCACAGGGCCTGTTTTAGCGGCATATTCGGCTACCAAGATCATTATGCTGAGTATATAAGTATTTTTATTTAAATATTTGCATTAAAGGGCGGATTGCTTTCTTTTCTAAAGTTAAATCATTTTCAGGATAGCAGGGGAGCTTTACGACAATTCCTGCATTCACCTGGGGCAAAGACAGGTTGACAGTATACTATAGGACCACATATGGAAACAAAAAAACATTCAAACTCTCGCTCACACTGACTGATTCTCCAGATTGTCTGTCTGCAATGTCAGTACATTACTATACAGGTCTGAAGTGACTGAAGTTTGTTTTACAAGATTTCAGTTCTTTAAATTGGACCACAATGCTTTCACTAGCAAAATTAAGATACCTGGGCTAGGAAAAAAAAATCTAAACAGATACAAGTTTAAATTAAAGATTTAGAACATTGTCATGTTGACACAAATTGCTTAGGGGGACTTGTTATTTTGACCTTGGTATTTGCTGAGGTTTGGGACACAAGTTTATTTTGAATGCAACTTGAAATAGTAAATTCACAAAAATAATTGCAGTAGTTCAGATATTAAGTTTGAAAAAGACATTACTCCGCTTGATAAATAATTGAAAAAAGAGTTTGTTTCTCTGAGGGATCGATAATTTTGTTCCTAACGAGTTTCTCTAAAGCCCCAATACAGTCCAGATAATTAAATCAGTGTATTGATCGACCCTGACACTTTGTGTCGTCTTATGCGACAGCTAGAAGCAGACAATGCAGTCTATAGACCACACACACACACACACACACACACACACACATTCTACAAAACACTACAATGGACACGTTTCTCTCTGGGAAACAAAAACTAGGGCGGATGTGACAGACGCATGCAGTGTTGACTCTATAAGCATTTGCACACATTGCCATGACATTATCAGCGTGAACTGTACTGTTTACATGGACACCGGGACCGAACCAGGCTGATGCAGCGTTTACGTGGTGAGAAATGAAATGATTCTCAACGTAAACCGATCAACATATTATCGTGGTTTTTACAGTTTCGCATGGTATTAGATTAAACACAGTCAGTGGAGACGTTCGTCCACACATAGAAGATAAATCAAATGGTAATAAAGACAAAAATGTGCTGTTACCCTTTGGTTCTCTTCATCGCCCCCCCAGTCACAAAACTAGACTTGTAACTGGGTAACACGGTCCAGTAGTAGTTGTGGTCAGACATGGTGGTGCTGTTGCTGGCAGAAAAAAAAAACAACAAACCAGATACGGAGAAATGTGCTGAATTTAAAGCATCGTGTTTCAGACAGATTTACTGTCTTTCCGGTGCTGGGTTTGCTGGGGCTGCAGATGTTAGCTAGGCCAGTACACGGTGTCCGACACCACTAACTCTGTCCAGCTTTGTCGGTTCGAACTGACCCAAGAACTGGCCACACGGCACCGCAGTTCTACGGTACCGGATGAGTGTAACGGCCATGTCCACCTTGCTCCTTCGTCCCGGTATTTACACTGGTTTAATCCTCCTCTGGGTCAGGGTTCGGCGGACATCGCATTACATCGATGAATATGAACCTGGCCCAAAGAAGCGACTGATAGAAAGTTTCCAGAGGCAGCACACAGGCATGCTCCGCGCATGCGCGTCCCAGCACACCGGGGGGAGGGGCCAATAATGATGCGTTCATATTTACGGGAAATGTTTTGACATTAGCAAAACACAGATATTCTATAATAATATTAAAACTCTAAATTGCATTTATTATGGTGGCATTATAGCACTTATGACAACCATGTCATAAGCGCATATAATATAATTGTACAATATTCTTTAAACGTTAACGATTAAAAGCATATATAGAAGGCCGTACAAAAGTGGCATTTATCTTTTACATTTGTCCTTAAACGTTGCATCTCTGTCACCAGGGTGAACTGAGCTTATCCTGTGAGTTTCAACTGCCATGGCTCACATTACAATCTTTTACATTTTAAACCCAGATTAGCCAGTGTTAAGAGCACAGCTATTGTACGGTGACTTAAACAAATAATTGAACAATAAAACACCCCCTATTTATTTTTGGGTTTGTTAACTCAAGTGGCTAACTGAATGTCTCACTTGGAAACCAATAACAAACATATGCCACTAATCCATGAGAACAACAAATGGATTGTTTAGCTATTTGAAAAGAGGTGATTTTCAAAAAGTAATTGAAGACCCCACTTTTCAGAGAGCAATGAATAGATGTAAATGTGAATAGAGAATTTTTAATAAGTCACTCATACAATATCCTATATAATGTGTTGCAGACTCGGAGTAAACTTTATGCAGGAAACACTGTAGCCACTTGGTAGGACAGTGAGAATTATGTCATTTTTTATAATCCACTTCCTATTTAAAAAGTGAAAGATAATTAAGGCCAACAGGAGATCTTTATTATTCATAATTATCTCTGTTAGCGTCACACATGGATGACGGTCCATCACATGTGGGGTCCACTTATAGTGCAGTCCATAGACGTATATAAGATGTGGACATTGTCTATACAATGACAACAAATTGTCATTGTATATAAGATGTGGTATTTCTCACTTGATTTAAAAATAAAAAATCAAACAATATTTTTCCACGTATCCCTTTTTGTTTCAGTGACTAGTTTCAGGTGCTTTTCTTAGATCCTTTTCAGGTTATTTCAAATAATGTTTCTTACTTCTTGATAGATTTCTTAGCAACAGACAATGGGAAAACCCCTCAAGAGCAGTGTGTTGTGACAGAGACACCTCCTTCAGTAAACGCACTGGATAAGCCTGTATTCTCTACACCTGTGTCACTTCTCTGTTAGTAAAACTGAATTATTGTGTCAGTCATTTGTTAAATTGTATCAGTTCTCAGCAAACAGTTCTCTGATTCCAAGAGGTAAGAATTATTAACTGCTCTCGGAAACAGGGTAAACAATTTGACATGTCAATTAAAAATGAAATGAAATAAAATTTTTAACAGTGGAGGAAAATGAAACATATTGATTCTCACTAACAGAAAATATTTCTCTTGCCCTTCCTCCTGTCCTCTCAGCTGTTTGATGAAAACCTGTCAGAGCAGTGCGACTACTCGGCAGTAGTCTGCAGTTCACACTTTTCTTTTATATACATACTGTGTACAGCAATCATCCACAACAAAGCAGACAAGTGACAGACACCTGGCCCATCTGGTTTGTAGAGGACAGACAGAGGAAGGGAGGGAGGATGGGGAACAAAAAGACATACATAGAAATACATAATGACACATTAAAAAAGACAGGTTTTAATACTTACACATTTCCCCGGCGTGGAAGACTCAATTCTTTCTAGATCGTGAGAAATGTAAAAGAGGAATTAGGATCAGGTGCTTGGAAAAGCATTTGTTTTTCTTATTTACAGTTAAACCAACCGAAAAGCTAATAACGGTCTTATTCGCTGATATGTTTTTTGTTTTTTTTATTTTGTCCTTGGCAAATATGGACTGAGCTCTAAAATTAGTATTGTTTTATTTATTTATGTTTGGCTAATAAATAAGTTTTTTTTAAGTTTATTTATTAAGTTGTGGGGGAAAAAAACCCCTGTCCAACATCACAAAAGACAAAGAATTGTATCCACAGCTTTTTTGTCATGTTTTCCTTTTAAATCAGTGTAAGAATCAGGAAACTCATTTAGTCTAATTTCTTGCACGACCAGTTCATGTTCTCATCTTATAACAGCCCTGATGTACAAATCCTCACGAGGATACAAGCTTTTAAGCTCAGGCAACTGCGCAACTGCCCTGGGCAATCAGAGTGTAGAGGACATTAAAGGGTGGAACTCTGTGTGTGTGTGTGTGTGTGTACACAAAACCTCTCAGAGGCAATTATTTCATTTTATCTTGTGCAGGATCTACCCCTGTTCCCTATAGACACTCCAGCTTCAACTGTCCAATAGTTCTCATCATACAGTATCAATGTGGAGAAAATCATGAAAACCAGGGCTTCAAGCAATTTGATTAAATTTTTTTTTTCAAAGAACAGAACATCACACCAAATGCCAAAGTACACTACTTAGTGTTTATATAGACAACTTAAGATTTAGCCCCAATATAAAATGACCCGAGTCAGCTCACAATAATTCTATCTTGGTCAAACATCAAACTAACCCAACCCAGGATAATAGCAGCCAAAACGATTAACCATAACTTGATTTAGTCACAGTCAAAAGATAACCAATAGTTTAACCGGTAAACACTTAATATTCACTAAATATTATTAAAGTCATGTCAACAAGAAATGTCAACATTTCCAAATGTAGCTAAATGAAAAATTATATTCAAAAATAAAAAATAAATAATGCATTAAATATTGGCTGTTGTCATTATTGTTTAGGTTTAAAAGATAAAAAACAAAGTAGAATTAATATGTTCAATATAAGAATCATTACGTCAAGTTAAATCAAAGATTTAATTATAAATTGTGAATGATTATGGGTGAAAAGGAAACCAATTAGTCTAATTGAATGGGAAAGAAAGTCTCACAAACGTTCCACACACTCAGGTGTTTCATGTTCCTCTCCCTGTGCGTGCACAGAGAGCCATGAATAAATCAAGAGAAAAACACCTCATCATGATGATGATTATTATTCTGTCCAAGGGTTTTTGTGAGAGATAAAAAACAGACAAGACAAAAAAAAGATGGTTGCCCTGCAGGAAGATTAAAGGCATGTCATGCAAGAACCATTTCTTTTTTGTGCTCCTGTCACTAAGGCAACCAGATCCAGCAGGGAACCAATGAGAAGCATGGAAATAAAAACACCAGAGGAGTCTCTGCTGCTGCTGCTGCTGCTGCTGCTGCTGGTAAAGCCTCTAGTTTCATAAATGGTTGCATTAGTCGCTTCAATTCATTCATTTATGTTAAAAGTGCATGTTATCTTTAAAGGTCACTGATGCAAAAAAAAAAAAAACAGATTAAAAAGAAAAGATCCTTTAAGGAGAAAGAAAATATTTTTATATATTAAATTCTCATCTGTGTCTGCAGTGCATTTGGTGGTAATTTTTTGTAGTATCATCATCACCATCATCATCCTCAACATTTTCATTTTCACCCTTAGCATCATCAAAATCTTCCTTGTTATGATGATCAGCATCACCATTACTGTCATCATCATCATCCTCATCATCCTCATCATCATCATACTCACCTGCAGACCACGCCGTCTCAGTATATTAGGTTCATCCATCACTGAAGGCAGTTTAGTAAAAAGGCAGTAGGAGCAGAGATAGCCTGGATCAGTCAGACCATACTGCGCGCCCTCCACACACCGACAGCATGTTTCTGAATAAACACCACCTCCTCCTACTGCTCCTCCTCTCCCCCTTCTTCTATTCCTTCTCACCCCAGCTAAGTCCGGCTGAATACACCCAGAGGAGGTGGATCAACTGACCTGGGCAAGACAGGTCCGAGGGAGCGGAGGGTGTCTAGGGTGGAGTGTTGTTGTTGTTGTTGTTCACCAACCGTTCTTATTTACACTACTATTTACAGCAATTGTATGTGTGTGTGAGTGAGTGAGTGTGCTGGCTGGGGTTTTTGAGGTCATGTCCAGTAAGAACGCCCAAACAGAAGTGAAAAGAGTCTGTTGTTTCCTCAGCTCCTCGTGCTTCCAGCAAGTTCCACTAATGAAGAATTTAGACCTCTATAGAAAATGTACTTTTTTAATTCTTAGGCAAAAGTCAGGATTTTATTTTACAACTGAAAAAAATGCATATATATATATATTGATTGATATTGATTTTCAAATTTAAATTCTATAAATATCACATTTATTTTATAATCTACCGACATTTATTCTCAGATGTATGACTCTACATTTTTGTTGTTTTTTAATGTTTGTTTCAGAATTTAGACGTTTTCTGGAGAAGTCTGGATTAAAAACAGAATTCTGTTTTTGTTAACCCTAATTGTAATTCTGGGATTTGAGTCTGGTGTTTTATTTTTTCCTTAGAAATTTAAACTTTACCACAAAAGTTTGTTATTTTCCTATTTTCCTAAGTCTTCTAAACCTAATGAATAAAACCAAAGCAAATCTGTGGCCCATTCTTGTCTCTAGGAATGACTGCTGAAAAATAATGTTAGATGTCCAGAAAAACAGCAGTGATTAATTGGTGCCTGGTACTCAGACTGAATCAGAATGTGTTTTCCTAAAACAAACAATGGCTACTCTCTTGTCCTGTGAAGTCACATGTCCTTTTATATAAGAGACAGATGGACATAAAGCCTCCTTGTTTCTTCCCAGAAAGTGACTTATCTTGATTGTGATGTAAAGTAACAAGTTTTATTATCTAACCTAAATAAATATATTTTATGTAACTGAAAACATTTTTAAAAACACATATTTCAAGGTTCTTGTAGCTGCAAGACAATCAGAATTTGTGAATGACAGCTGCCAGAGAAAAGTAATGGCTTTCTTCTTAAACCACGATCTTAAAGAAAGAAAATATAGACTCTAAGTTTTTCCCTGTTCTTCTGAATCCATGTGAACGTGATATAAATATTATTATGTAGTGTAATGTTAAGGCCACAAGAGGGAAGTATGGAGTTGTAATATTCCTTTTTGCGTGACTAATTACCTTCATACATTTAATTAGGACCAACCATTTTCCATTGACTGTAACATAGCATTTTTAAGAGTTTATTAATTTAATTTCAAATAGTGCATACCACACTCAAATACAAAAATAATGTCGCTAAAACCAAAAATACCAGTGTAAAAACGACCTATCTTCAGCTGCCCACTGCTCACCTTGGTGATGGGTTAAAAGCAGAGGCTCAGCTTCGTTGTATCCTTGTATTACAATGACAATAAAGACCATAACAAAAGACATAATGCTCTAAATATGTGAATTATGGTTACAGTGGCAGCATACAAAATAACTAATAATTATAAATGAACAAACAAAATAAACAAAAATGTATAGCGTGCATTTATGTATTAATTAAAATATCAGCTTTTGATTTTAAATTTTAATGTGTGGAAACCCCTACTTAATAAAACACTATTGCGCACCCCCTAGTGGCGACTCACACACTTAGGGAATCCCTGTAAAGTATTAACCAGCACCTGCCAAACCCACATGATTAAGTATAGAGATATTCTTTACCCCATGTTGTAACAGACAGTAGAAGTGCTGTGTCACTCCACTGATGTTAACGACAGTCATCTCATCTCTGTTATTCATTATTTATGCAACATTCTCCAATTTAAGCAACGTCACAATGGTTTTGGTTGGTCACTGACTGGAGACAAATGATACCTTTGACCTGAGACCCTCTATTTAATTAATTAAACAGACTATGTATGTTTAATTAAAGCAGAGGGACTAACGTGCAGACAAACCTTTGGCCGGAACTTGTTGTTGGCGGAGCTAAAACCAAACAACCGACCGCATTTCTTAATAAAATCGTATCATATAATACTTACCCTTGTGGAACATGAATAAAATAGATATCTTTCGATAGAAGAAAACCGAATTAAAAATTTAATAATGATGAATGATATTATTACTGACTGAAAAACAGGTAACGTTTCAACCATTGCTAATTATGCCACTTTTTAATATCCGTGTAGCTAAAGCAGCTAAGTTCGCTACCGCAAAGCTTGAATGATGCCTCTGTATCTGTCATATGATGACCAGTAGAGGGCGACATTCGGCAGACAAAACAACAACAACAACAACAACAATAATAATAATAATAAAATAATAATGGAGGTTGAAGACCCCTGATGTAGTGTATGTTTCCATGTCAGCTACTTGTATTCTCTGCTTTTGCTTCCCTGGTGTGATTCCACAGGAGGCTGAAACAGGAGATACTGGGAGAGAGAACTGAGTCTTAATCATGAGCGTGAAGAGCTTTTTCACTATTGTCAGTTGGCCTGAGTCATTCTTTTGAACCTTTCACCCACTTTCCACTGGTGAAGGTGGGTTCACCTGGAAAAGAACATGAATATTTCATCACCTCAGTGACTCACAACTAAGAAACGCACAGGTGAACTCTCACATAGGCTCTGTCTTAGACTGGATTTGAACGGGTTTGCTACTGAATGCAATGTATTGGTAAAAATAAAAGAAAATATTGCTTAATAACTATATTGTATTTTTTTTTAAATATATTGCTTAATAACTATATTGTATTTTAAAAAAAAATCTTAATAGTGTTTGGTCCATTATTTGTTTATTTTGGCTACTGTAAGGCTGATTGATTTAGAAATTTAAAGCGGTTTTGTAGTATTTTATATTTTGTCTGAAAATTGATGCTTGTTACTCTGTTAGAGTAGAATCTTCTTTGTTCAAAGAGAGAATGAGCTGCTCAACAGTCATTGGTCACAGTTTTCTGATTCTCTTCTTTTATTATGCAAGGAGACAGATCTTAATGAAAGTTCCTCAATGAAACACTAAAAGCTTCCTACTGCCTGGAAGAACACGTTTACAGACCAAACTAATATTGCCTTTAAAAGGAGTGTGCACACATCCGGAAAATGCGCGATGTTCTAAAGGAAAAGTCATAACTGTTGTGTTATTGTGTTATTTTATTATGCTTTACTTGTAACAAATAACTCATTCTTTTTTTATAACCCTCTTATCAGCCTCAGATCAATCTCACCAAACTTACAGTCAGACGGTGGTTTCACTCCATTGTAATTAGATCATCTTTATCTTGGTACAATCTGAGGTCCCTATTGGCCCTGGTTGCAGAACACATGATTATTCCGTAACTGTTAAATTGGGATTTTCCTTCACTGAAAGAGGAAATAAGGTCAAGGCCATGGACGTCCTGTGAACAGATAGAGGTGAGGACATTTCCCACTGTGGGCTGGTATCTCTGTGGTAACACTGTTCAGACTGATGCAGCCTGTGTTTGTGCTCCTTGATCTCTTTACTGGCACTGACTCAGCTTCGATATTTGCTGTGTAAAGATGAAACTAGTCTTAAATTACGATCACAGGCTGTAAAAGAAGTAAAATATGCCATAGAGTAGGTTTGCTTTTATTTTTACTTTTATTTATGTGTAGACTAACCTTGAGCTAATTGGCCATGGTTTTAGTTTTAATATTAAGCTTTTTTTGTTATACATTTTTGCTAAAATTAAGCTGGGTATGTCCATGTCTTAGATGACTTTAAAATTAATAAACTAAAATAAATATTTGGATCATTTTAACAGCTAAGCTTACATCTGTAGTAGGTTTGTGAAATTATATCTTTTCTTAATTTTATATTATATATTTTCGTTCATTTTATTGCAATGTTTCAGCAACAATTTAGCAACTACTTTCATATAGATGACCTTTTAAAAGTAACTGTTATTTCTTAGTCGTGTTTTTAACTTTCTATTCATGTTTCATGGATAAGAGGTTGGGTTGCCCAGGTTTAGGTAAGTTTGTTTACTCCGACCTCTGACCAGTGTGGCAGCAGATCAATATTAAACAGATGCATTGTCATCATTAACCCTAGAAAACTCTCTCATGTCCTGACATTTTTTGTAATGTCAGAACTTGACATTACAAATGGGGAAATTAATATAACATTAATGTCTTATCATGGTATCTATTGTTGAAACTGTTAAAGTTAAAGAAAATGAAATGTTGCGTGGCTGAGCCCATCACAGTCCCACCTGACGCACCTGACCAAACAGGGGTGTGGCAACAGAAGCTCTATAAATAAAAGCAAGTCAGGAATTTCATTCATAACACCGACAAAGCCAGTCCATTGAGCCGCAGCACTTCTTAACTAAATCCACCTGACTCACTGGCTCATCATGTCCCGACTACACTCACTCCATCCACTGACCTGCTGCGTGCTGCTGCTCCTCTTCTCCCCTTCGATCTTAGGGGACAGCCGGCCTCACCTGGTCCACAGAGGAACATCTGGCTGGAACAGGACGCAGAGCCAGGAGTTCCTGATTTTGGAGGCTGTGAAGATGGGAATCCTGAGCTCACTGGGTATGGACAGGGAGCCCAGGCTGGAGCAGAAGGCCCCAGAGCAGGAGTTGAGGAGGATGTATCAGCTCTTCAGAGAAAGACTGGGAGAGATGAAAAGAAATTCCATTCAGCCGACGAGGGAAAGCAGGCAATCAACACTTTCCACTGCTCTTTTTCCGACCACAGGTGAGATAAGATCCACCTATGAAACAGTCAGACGCCGTTTTACCATGAATGACTGGTGTAAAAAGACATTAAGATAAGTAGGGCTGGAGGAGGTCACGTTTCAGGACGAGCTGTTTTTGTACAACTTTACTTTTGTTGTCTCAGACAAAAACCATTCTAATGCTGTGCTAGGAATAGCCTTTGTCTCCATTAGTACTTTGCACTCTTATGGTTTTCTCAGAAGCCCTTGAACGTGCATACAGAGGTTAGACAGCAGTGATTTGTTGGAAGGGAGACACCTAGGCTATTTAACGGTCATGGACACAAAGCAAAGACATTCCGTTGAGCCTTTTAGAACCTCAGAGCGTGACAGGCACACCTGTCACATGGTGCCTCTCTTTGGACATATTTTTGTTTGAAATAAAGCAACAAATACGTAACAACCATGAGGAGTGATGGGCAGCAACATGTTACTCAGCTACACACCACTGTTATATCATTACTTTACCCAGTACTGGACAAGGTAGCTCCAGATCTAACACAATGAAGTCTCCTACCAGCTCTACGAGTCATCACCAGTTTCTCAGTGGAGATTCTTCACCTTTGACTAAAGTTGTCTTTATGTCCATTTTAGCCCGTTTCTAGGGGCTAACACTTGCCTTGTTCCTTGTACACTTTTAATTTGTAGGTATTTTTGGGCTAACTTTGAGCTATCTTAATGGCACTTCATACACATTTTGAATTCTTTAGTGACACTTTTCCTAATCTATTGTTAAGTATTTTGTCTTATGCTAATCTTTGATGTTAATCTTTTATTTTTTGGTTACCTCAGGTTGTCTGCTCTCTTCAACTTGCACGCTTTTTTGGCCTAACGTTCAGTGACCTTTGAGCCAGTCTAACTTTTGTTGACATTTGCTAACTTTTTACCCACATTTGTCACATACTGTATCTAAGCTATCACATAGTTGTCTGCTTTAAAAGCTATGCTTCATCATTGTTTACTTGCCAAAATAAGATGATGTTTTTGTGATTTGGAAACAGTCAATTACTTCTTGTGTCTTGAGATGAGATGACATTTTTCAGCAGAGGGTTTATATTGAAATGTGCCTCTGCTGAACGTCCTATTTCTGTTGTTTCACCTAATGTTTATTAAGTTAAACAACATAATGACTTTGGATCGAATCTGTGTGTTTTTATTTGTTTCAGTGGAGCCACTTAAAGTGATTCGGAGAGCAGAACATCGGCCGTCACCTCAACACATTCAATGGTTCAGAGCTGTTTTCCATAAGAACCCAAACATCTCCAATGGACTGATACTAGCAGTGGCAGAACTGAAGATTTCCAGAAAGAACCTAAACCAGACCAAGTTGAATTTAGAGATGAGAGACAACTTAAGAGTCAGAGTGAATGGTATAAAAGCATTCAACTCTGAACCTCTGGTTCGACATAATGTTTCTCATGATGTAACGTTGAACCTGGGGCCTGAGGTGGATGAGTGGCTGAGAACTGACGGTGGTCAGACTCTAGCAGTGGATGTAGGAGTAGTTGGAATCAAAGAAGTTCTTAACACAAAACCTTTGATTTCACTGGGATTAAGCTTCAGGCAGCACGAGGCAGAGGGACAGAGGAAGAGGACGCGGCGATCGGACAAAGAGGACGGCTGTGAGCAAGGATTGTGCTGCCGCAAATCCATCACAGTGTCTTTTAAAGACATCGGCTGGGCGGACTGGGTGGTGGCGCCGTCTGAGTACACTATGCATTTCTGTGAAGGCACTTGCCCGCACAACTACAAACCAGCCAGCATGCACACACAGGTGAAGTCCAGGCTGCACCAGATCACCAGAGGGGGAACGCCACGGCCCTGCTGTGTGCCGGCAGCCTATGAGCCCATGGTTCTGATGCACTACGACAGCACAGGGAAACTAAAACTGACACCTTTCGATGACTTGATTGTCAGTAAATGTAACTGTGCCTGAGAGGTGTGAGGTCATACAAACTACTACCAGAAAACCCTTATCTTCAGGGGTTGGTTTTTCCTCTGGAAAAACTCTCCATGTTACAGTAACAAACGAGACTTTTTTTTAGACTGACTCTTATTTAACATTTATGAAATAACCAAACATTTTTAGTCATCAGCTTTAAGTTTCTCTTGTCTTCTTCTTTGGATTCTAAGAGTATCTTATGGCTGAGCCATTGTTTTGTTTTTTATTTATTTTGTTCTATTTATGGTGACATTTTTACGTTGAATGTTTTTGTGGTTCACATACATTGTATTGTTTGTAATTTAAACTCTAAAGTAACCCTTTGTTCAAATGAAATAAAGACGGTATCTGCCAGTTGTCAACACAGTACATTGTTTATGGGTTGCCATTGACTGTCTGTAAGAAGGAGAACTGTTGTTGTTTTGTAAGACCGCCTTTATGACATGACAAAGAAATGACTAAAAGAAATTCCAACCTTGATTTCCATCCTTGAAGGCTATCAACGTCAGGGTGTGGTAGGAGTGCATGGAGATATGACAGCGTTTATCTCCCATCGTTGACCTTGGAGTCCAGTGTGTCCTTGAATGGCAAGTTACTGGAAAAGAAACGTTATTACGAGTTATTTAGTGTTTTGATGATCGGGACAATAAAGACCACTTGTCGTCAATATTAATTAAGTGGATTAGGAAAAAGGCAGGTAGATCTTAAAAATGCTGGTTTATGCACCCACTGTTTTTTTTCTTCTTCATCTTTTGTTTCAAGGATAATACTGTCAGACTTATTAGACTTGTGTGAATAGAAACAGCTCCAGCCTTCAGCTCTAGGTGTCAGTGTTACATAGTACATCACCAGCTGATGATGTTTGGCTTTTGCTCGAGACAAAACCTTTTATTTTCTTTAGAAAATGAAAATAAATGTAAAATAAAACCTAAGAAATTTTAATGTAATCTATACACTATGACACAGATCTTATGTATCATATCTTTGTAAATAAATTAAAGGTGAGCCAAATATATATAAAAACACGAGTAGTTTAGAGTTAGTTTCAATGAAACACCCACTGCTGTCAGGAAACAAGAGTGGACACGCACAGATCTGATCCTCCTGTTTGTGAAGCACAGATTGGACAAACACTGTCCTCTGTCGACTCAAACCTACAACCTTTAATCATTCACAGTGATTGTTTTGATTATGTTTTTAATTCTAGTGTGTTTATGTATTAATATCCTTGAATAACAGTTTCTTTTCATTTCTTCTTAACATGTTTGGTATTTTTCACCTGCAGGAGTGCTGTAGTGGTGCCATGGAAACTGTGCTCTTCATGAAGACTATCAAGCATCTGCTTCTTTACTTGTCAAAGGTTTAACAGGAGCCAGAGAGGGTTGTTGTTCCAGCTGCACTGCAGGTTAGGCTGCAATTGAACAGAGCACAATCACATAGGAGCACAGAAAAAAAGGTGGTGAGTACAGGTGCAATGCAATACTTACCACTTACTGTGTCCACTGGCAACTTCTAGGATTATGGTAAAATATACAACACAATTTATAGAATTGTGAGGGGTCACCAATTATATTTATCAGAGGGCCAGAATGAGGACTCAAATGAAACAAAATAAAATTCACATTATGAATATTATTTGATGTTTTGAAACCTAATCATGGTCCCGTGGACGACCAGTTGATGATTACTGTTCTATGGTCAGTGTCCAATTGACCTCATCTTGTCATGTTCTGGATACCACTGGGAATTAAACCTGTGACTCTCTCTCTCTGTGAGGCAGTTGATGCCATTTAAAGGATGAATAACAAAGTAAAAAATAAAAATGTGATTGATTCATACATTTATTCATTATCATGTACAAATTGTATTCCGGTGGTAGAAAGCTGTTGTAAGACTCCAGTGCTCACCCTCCTGTAGTCTTTATTGCAGTAAAAAAAGGAAATACCAGCATGATCAAAGATTCAAGAGGTACTTTGGCAAATATAAATTATACGTAAAGAAGGCAAGCAGACATTGTGAGCGTTGTAAATGTGAGGGGAGAGAAAGGGCGCCGTTGTTTTCCATCACCAGCACCCATGTAAAACTAACTGGAAAATAATAATAAAAATTCATAAAAATATTTTATTTTTTAAACAGGATTAAAACGAGCAGACGGGGAGAGAGTCTGGTTATTTGTTCCTTCTTTCTTTCTTTCTTCATGGGAGCACAGATACAGATTCACAGTACATAGAGGGTTGTGTGTGTGTGTGAGTGCGCGTGTGTCTCTGAAGTAAACTGCATCTGTCATAGAGTTGTTTTTCGTGAGCTGAAAATAAGATTCCATTTCATATCTGTGAACTGTCGCCCTGTTTCTACCACTGACTGAGGTGAATTAAACCGGTCGTTAGGGCAGAGGGCAGACGGTGATGAAGGTGAGGAAGCTCCGGGGTCGACACAATAATATTTGGCAAAAAAAAAATACAACAAACAACAACAAAAAACTATTGTGTTTGCAGAAAAGGACGCTGGGTGAGTGATGAGTCAATGTGACACAGTCTGCAACTATTTCTCCAGATGTCCTTGTCTTTGTTCAGCTCTCAGGGTGAGACACCACATTTCTCTGCTAGTAAACCCTACCCCAGACTGTACGATGGGAACCGTGTATGTGCGTGTGTGAGTGCACGTGTGTGTAGTCGTTACGTGTATAGGAAGGAGAGGATGTGGAAGAGACGGGGACAGCGAGCAATAAACAGAACGAGAGACAAAGAGAGCAGAAGTGTGGAAGTAGAGCTGGGTGAGAGGGTGCCTGAAGTGTCTTGACAGTCTCTCTGTTAAAGACACCAGGAGGAGGAGGAGGAGGAAGAGGAGGAGGAGAGCTGGGTGGTGAGCTGGAGGGAGTTAAGGAGGACAGACGACTCTCTGCGTCTCCCCCATGATCTAATTTTCAGAGGTATTGTTGTAGAAAGTGCAGCAGCATTATCTCGTAGTGCTCTCCAGACTCAGGGCAGCGGATACTGTGTCGCTCGTTGGGGTAGACCTGGAAAATTGTAACAGGAACAAACAAGAACTATTTGTTAATTTACATGCATGCACGTTTTCTTTCAAATCTTTAGTTGTTGATACACTGAAGCATTTCCCACAAAACAGCCGTCCAATGTACACGGAGGAAAGTGTTCTCTGGGTTCTAAACCTCTCCCTTCATACATCTCCCATAACATACATCTCACAGTGCAGATCTGTGCAGCTCTCGTGTTTTCTGTTACACTTGAAATCCTGACAGGTCTGAGTCATTTACCAGAAACTTGGGTCTATTCTTCTTGGGAGTTTTCTGAATATTTTTTGTGCACCTCTGCCAGTTTTTATCTTGTACCATGTTGTACTTCTCACTCCAGGCCTGGGATGTTTTCCATGACTCTCCATCCTCTGTATTTTCCACAAGACTTTTATAAAACCTTTATAAAAATCAATTTCGACAGAAAACGTTTGAAGAAGAAAAACAGGTATTTTCCAAAATTTTGAATAAAAATCCCTGCTCTGCATGAAAACACACTTCAAAAATGCTGTGGTCAACCGCTCCATTATTTCTGAGTGAATTGACGGTGAGACAAACCTGGAGCTGGTAAGGCTTCCCAGCACGAATTATCTGAGAAACTAGGAAATTGGTGTGGAAAAAGTGCACGTTCTCATCCAGGAACCCGTGAAGAATCAGCAAACGGTTGGGCCTGGAACGACATAGATGACTTGGTTAGAGAATGAGATGGCTGCTACTACTACTACTATTAATTTACTGCATCTCAACTGTTCCTTCAACAGCTGTCTCTGCTGTGGTTTTCAAAATGAATGGTGTGTGTTTCAGGTGAAGAATGACAGTGATCTTCGAGTCATGGTTAAACATGTACAAAAATTCATGCTGTGCAGTTTGAAAAGATTGAAGACTTCAAAGATGCATTCACTGACTCGCTGGGCAGTTTGTCCACATGCAGGGCCACGGATCCTTCCTCGTAGCCCTGCTGGTTGTTCTCTGGTGCGTCCATGTAACGCTCTGTGTAGCCAGTGTCGTAGGCCATCCATACAGTGACCGGAGCACCAGCAATGGCCAGCTGGAGAAAAAAAAACAAACGGGCTCAGATTAAAGTGAAACAAAATGTATCACAATAACATTTGACGTCTATGGTTAATATTTTTATGTTGTAATCACTGTTTTCCCAGCCATGTTGGTCACAGTTATACAGCAAGCTTTTATAAACGTATTGCTGTTTAAACAGAATGTTTGGAAGCAAAGAGGAAGTGATTGGAACAATGACTCAGCAGACGATCCATGATCAGACTGGAAACCAATTTTTTTTTCAGTTGTAAATAAAAAAGCATCAGTTTTTTTAATTTAACATTCACCCTACCACAGTATAACAACATTAAAACTCCATTAGGCAAAGCAACTAGTAGTCTGTTAATGTCCAACACAGACCCCGTGTGGAGGTTTATGGTAACTACACTAACGGTGCATTATTAAGACAGCGGTTATAACTACCACAAAGTACTACAAAACTTAAATAAATAAATAAATATTATGAGTAACATTTTCTACAGAATAACACCAATGGTATTGTTTCTCAACCCTCCCTGGTGACAGCAGCGGTTGTTCAATGACAGAAGATTAGCTGATTAGGAAGCTAAAGATTGAAACATTCATTCAAACCTTAAAAATATTCGGTCGCTGGATGAGGCCCATTAATGAGAGGAAACCTCCGTAGGACCAGCCGTGAATGGCAACACGACTAAGGTCGACAAAGTTGAACTTCTCTGCCACGTACTGCAGCCCCTCCACCTGGTCCTCGATCTCCACCTGACCCTAAAGACAGTAAAGCAGCACCTGTTGGTAAAACTAATATTTCAAGACCTTGAGCAAAATGAAATCAATATCTGATTCCTCAAGATACCATTTTATTTTTAAGTGCTCCTTCAAACTCCAGTCCTCTCTGACAGGAACCCCTTCCATCAATGACGACCACGGCGTAGCCCAGAGAAGCTAACGTGTTCAGTCGAAGGTATTTCATCCCTTTAAAGGAGTTGTTCACAAGCTGAACCTGGAAGCAAACCACAACGCAAACCTCATGTTTAACGTGGAGTTCATGAGTGAATACAAAGGATCACATACAGATGTCACACCAGACAGGACATAAAACACAAACCTGTGGACCTCCATACACAAAGAGAACGGTCGGGTGTTTCCTGCCAGGCTGCAGGTTGTGGGGCTTGTAGACCATCCCATAAAGCTGGAAGCCAGACTTCCCTGGAAAGTCAAAAATCTCAGGCGGATTGTAATCCCCTGGGCAACCTGGAAGACAAATTTGTAGACAAATCAACTGCATACACAAAGGCTGTGTGCAATAAATAAAGGGTACTTTTAATATGTGTTGCGCTGAATCAAGAAAATTAAATACAAGAAAAATATTTTTTTGAGTCATTGTTTTGCGTCCAATATGACAAATCTACCTTATTTAAGTTATTAATCAGGCCAAGTTTACCTGGTGATTCCATCATACTGGCCCAGAACTCAGGCACCATTTGCCTTGGATCCCCCTCTGAACCTGTCAGTTTGTAGACGTGAACACAGGGAGGAGTGCTCACATTACTGTAGTGGCTGACAAAAAAGTCAAAGTTCTGCAGAACATGTAAAGAAATGATACATAAAACTGTGTGTTAGTAAAAGTTATGCAAAAGCAAGAAATAGTAATTAAAAATGATCTCAGTATAGTACAGACTAGAGCTCTGTTGTTCATTCATCATCTTGATCAGTAATAGATCTAAACTATAATAGATGATCAATAAATTAATTTTTACCAGAGTACAAACCAGGGTGTATTACCTTACTAACAGAGCAGCTATGAGAGAATCCAGGCTTGGTAAGTCTTACTACGGTTCCAGGACAGTCGTAGCTGACCACATAAAGGTGGTGTTCCAGAGGCGTGTCTCTGGTGCCCTGAAAGTACACCGACCTTGTCGCCTCATTTACCCAGATCTAATTAAGAAGAGAAAAACGTTTGTTAGTCATTTTATATAAAAGTTAGTCATTAGGAACAGCAACAGTGACATTCTTTAGTCTAAAATATTCTAATCAATTTATGAAGTTTACAGTGTGAAATTTTAAATATTACAACAATTGCACTGCCTTAAAATTGATGACAAAAAAAGTAGAAAATTATACTGTTCACACAGTTCACATTTCCCAACAACACCCAAAAATGCAACATTCTCTGGGTCTGGTGTCATCTGAGGTGAATGGATGTAAAGAAAGAGATTTTTTAAGTCTAAGGCCCACACTGCTCTCATCTGACCTTGGATCCATGTCTTGCCAGGACTTCCCATTCTCCAGTGGTCAATGTAATCTCCTCTTTGATTGCACATTTAAAGTCTCCTGGAAACAAACAGATAGAAGAGGCAACATGACACGATCCCTGACAACTGGGTTCAGATTAGTAGAACTGATAAAACAAAACAAAAACCAAACATGTTTGACGTCACATCAGATGACAATCAGAGTGTCTCCTACCCTCTATGTGTCGGTAGGTTTCTGTCCAATTGTTGCAGCCTGGTTGTAAGATGGATGTGATTTTATACAGGTGGCTGAAACCGGTTTTAGACTCGTTTATCCAAATAAAAGTAAACTCATCTTCTGTTGTTTGTATAAAAGGGTAAAATATATCATGGACCTGTTAAAAAAAGAAGAAAATTCAACCAGATGTCTAATATAAAACACATTTTAAAGACAACATTTTAAAAAAACTCACATTAATCCAGACGTCTGTTGTCTCTTCGTAGATGATGTAAGGCTGTGTGTTACTGGGCACAGCATCTAGACTCTCCTGCCTCTGAGCCAAGTCATCTGTGACAGGTATGAAGAGATCTGGAGGCAGCAGCACCAGCTGTAGTCTCCTCTGACTACGGTCCAATAGCACTGCCCAGCCACTATGTAAACACACGGGACAAAAATTCTTTCAAAATTCTGTACCTCACTGCCCAGCCACTATGTAAACACACGATTCAAAAATTCTGTACCTTTTTTTTTTGGTCAACTTCACTGCACATTACATGGCCCGGTCCCATTTCAGAGAATGACAAATATAGTCATCGTCCAGGGTTTGTATTGCAACACTCACTATTTGCCGTCACTTGTCCACCCGACTCTGGCGATGTATTCTGTCCCAGGAAACAATGAGGTGAAAGGGACAACCAGCTCTTTGTCTTTTGTGCTCACAATCTGTTCAAGAACAACACGTTCAGGTTTAGAATGGGGTGATAATGATGTGAATGAAAGGAGAAATAGAAGAGGAATAACAGGGATGGCCTCACTCTTCCTTGAGGATCTGTTTTGATCTCTGCCAGTTTAAGTGTTGCCTGGGGGTTTTTGCTACCTGTAAATAAAGGAAATAAATACAGAATCAATATAATAAAACGAACAAAGCTTGATTATGGCAAAGACAAGTTTAAAAAAGAGACAACACAGGTCAAAAAGGACACACATTATAGTCATCTCTGGTCTTTCTAATATTTTGGAATGAAAAGACTCTACGCAGCGTTTCACTCCTCTGAACTGTGTGTGTACAGTGAACAGTGTTTTACCGACCTGTGCGAGGATATCTGTATGCATCAGCTTTCCTCTCTTCCAGTGCTGGAGATGGAACATGAATAATTTCTACTTCAGTCTCATCCACCTCTTCATACAGAAGGTGAACTGTTTTTCCTCCATTGGGGTCTAATGAAGGGGAGCAGAGGAGACATTTTAAAGCACTCATAAACAGAGAATAGTGAAGAGAAGTTGGTGAACTTAATGCTAACCTTCCACTGCTGAAGGACTCCACCAGTAACCAGTGAAACGGTCGAACTCTTCCTGGATGACGAAAGTTGCTACACCAGCAGACTTGGGGTCCTCCTTCACATTATCCAGACCTGAAGAAAAATGCCTCAAATTGATCAAATTGTCATCACTGTTTCAATGTTTAACCTTGTACAGAGGAAAATTGGTGTACAGTGTAATAACTGATCTGAACTGTATCTTGAACAGGGGAAAATATATACAGTATATCAAATAGCAGACTGAGTTGTTTTGCAGCTGAAGGCACTTTAAGGATATAAAATACCAAAGCAGGAAAAGCTCCTTAACACATCGCATGTTCTCTAAATAATTCAGAGAGAACTCAGTGACTTCAGACCTTTGTGGCAGTACGTCAGTCTTCTCTCCTCGCCCGTCTTTATGTTAGCTATCCACAAGTCGTTATTGTTGATAAAAGCTATGAAGTCCGGGTCTCCGGGACAGAACTTGGGGTCCATGCGGGTCCCAGAGCACTGGGTCTTGATCTCCACTGGCTTTAAAGGGGCAGACTGCTAAAACCAAAAAGTACAATTTTACTTGTAGACTATTTGTAGCAGGTCACTTGATACACAGATGAAGTAGAAAATTGACATAGGTTGACAAAATGACTATCTTCGATGCAGGCAAATTCGCTGACATGTAAAGTACACTGGGTTCAGAGATTTAAACCTTGCTACTTCCGCAGGACATGGTAGGTGTGTTTGTTGGAATACAAAATCCTTACATGAGAGACAAACATTGCTCACATTTTTTAATGACAAATTGATGTTTGATATTATCTTATACAGGGGGTCTTACTTTGGTATTCCGTTCCTATGCAGTAACGTACCTCGAAATTTAGCCTCAAGTTGAAACTCACACACTGTACATAAGTACCTTTGTCCCCTGTTGAGAACATATTCTTCTCAACTTCCTTCCCACCACCTTTTTTGCATTGTTTACCAAAAAGCTTATTCTAAAAATTAGCATGTACTCACAATAAATCCATTGTTGCCTCCATCCTGGCAGTAGAAGAGACTATTGCTGGCCTGGAAAAGAAACCGACCTGTCTGAGCATGATAATCGTAAGAAGTGATACCAAAGGCTCCTAAACGTTTACGTTCTCTCAGCAATTCCTCCTCTCGGGAGTAGGCTCCTTGATGAGGTGTGGCCTGAGACAAAAAAGACAACAGAAATCAACTGTTAAATAAACTAAAGTTTTGGTCTGAGTTGCTCTTGTGTAAAGCAAAGCTAGTTGCACTTGGATTTTTAATGTCCTTTTTGTTAGATTTTTGCTTCTTTTTTTCAATCAAATATATTATGACAGTGTTGTTGTATAATCATTAGATTGTATATATGACAGATAATCACCCAAAGAAAAGGTGTGATTTATTTTTATGCAGCATCAATTATTAATGTATTGCAGGGTATGTGACACATCAGCTTGGGTTTTTTGTTCTTCATTGAGACAAGTACAAGTGGGGACAAGGGGTAGACTGGGTTTACCTGGAAGTGATCCAGCATCTGTTTCCATGACAACACTAAAAGGGCCTCTTTGCGAACCTTCTTGGGGATTTCTGAGTA